TAGCTCTGTTTTGTATTCTTGACCCAACAATTTCTGTGACTTTGAGTGCAACAATATGAGTTCCTTCTAGGAAAGGTTGTTCCCATGTGCGGTGATATGCACCTCATACTTAAAAAATTATTAACATCTCTCCAACAACTATAAACACTTTTGTGAGCCAGGTTTTTTTCTAGCATATCCCCGTCTTCAGTCCAGTATTTGTTCTGCTTATAGCTTAGTTCTGTTATTCACCCACTGTTGAGAAAGTTATCTGCCTCATTATCCGCAAAATGTTCGACTTTCTTCAACAGCCAGCATGGATGGGTGTTGATTCTCAGTGGATTCAGTACTACTGAACTAACTGCAAACCTTTACCAAGACTTGAGGAGCCAGGGTTATTCAATGGACTTTAAAGTCGTTATGCAACCTTGGTTCAATCACTTTAATTGAATGAGATCATGGTTTAAGTAAATGGTATCCTTGTTCATAACAGCACTAATAACTTCATAGAGCACTAACTTGTTGTGTCATAAAGGAATGCAAAAAATGTCCCTCTACATCCAACGTGATATAAAAACTAAAATGCGGAGAAGGCTAGTGGAGGCTGTAAATCGTTTCAAATGTCACGTGAAAACATATTAAATGATTTATTAATCTTATGCTAAATAAACCTAAAAAACCTGTAACACCTAATTGACAAGCTACCCAAGTGCTCACATGGTTTTAATAACATGGAGAGAGGATAAAAGGTAGATAATGTAATACAGAAACACGGAAAACATGATAGTAGAGGGCGGAGGGCGGTGGGGACAGGGTGATGAGAGGAGAGGGAGATCGCACACATGAAACAGGCTGCCGCTTGCATAGCGGGAGTTACTCATAAATCTCATGGCTCTCTGTCGCTTGGAGACCACCAATGTCAGCATGACACCATGCGGAGGGCAGGACACCTCCCCTCTTATTACATCTCATGATTTAGGAGCAGTTACAAGGTTTATGTTGCACTAAAGCTGCAGGCCCCCCTGTTGATTTTGGCCTGTCGTTTTCACACAATAAATCTGGACACTTAAACCATGCATGGTTTATTAAAGATGCTCAGCCATGATCTATGACTACAATCTAAAGTAAAAAATTAGCTTTATCTAACGAATGGGATCATATTGTCCCAATGACAAATGTTGCTTCTCAGAGCTGCTGTGCTTTCATTGGGAAAGGAATGGTCAGTGGTGGACATTTAGTCAAGAATTACACAATTTTGAGGTACTTGTGCTTTACTCTAATTTAGTATCTCCGTTTTCTGCTTTATACTTCTACTTCACTACAATTCAGAGAAAAACATATGTACTTTTTACTCCATTCATTTGTCTTACAGCTATAGTTACTTTTTGAGACTCACATTTTATATAAAACATTATATATATTATTGTTTTTATGTGCTTTTGCTTGCTTGCTTTTATTGTTTTTAACATTTGTTTCTTGATTTGTCTGTGCTTTTGCTTGTCAACTTTGTAAAGTACTTGGTATGAAATGTGCTATATATATATAAATAGATTTGCCTTAGAAATCCTTAAGAAACCATGAAGCAAATTGTGTTCATTTCGGAAGTTTTGCTGGACATAAGATGTCTCCTACTTCACTGTAAAGTCCATTCTCAGTGTATGTGCACTGGAGGCTTCAAGTTTCTACATCATACATATAAGTTGCAAACTGGACCACGTTTGACCTCCAAAGTGTTTGTAATGTCAAAAAACATGCTTGTAGGCCCCACCCCTTAAAATCTGATTTTCATCTGCACAGAGAAACTTTCCACTTTCAGCAGATAAATGTGAAAACATCGTTCTAGTGTCAAACTCTGCACATACATCCCTCTGCACAGTGAAGCTCAAACACCCAACTGTACGAACAAGAAGAAAAACAGATTTCTGAGTGGAGGGAGACGGTAAAAACTTACGGTAAAATATTACACGTTGATGGATCCATATTAACAAACTAATTTATAAGCGACAAGCAATTTCTCTGCCAAATGTGTAGTTTACTTTTTGTAAGTTTAGGTGATAACATTTGCACTTTTACTTTAGTAGGGTTTTAAATACAGAATCATTCCTTGTGACGGAAGAAGAATTCAGATCCTTTACCAGTTACAAGTAAATGTCCATATTAAGCAATAAACAACGGTTGTGTCAGAGACTTCAGTCACTCTGGAATAAACACACTCCAAATACATGTGGGCAAAAACATTGCAAGGGGAATGAGAAGGAGGAAGCACCTGCCTTGTCAATCACAGAAGAGCCAAGAAAACGGCAAGGTTGAAGTCTTGACAGTCCCTGAAAAGCATCTCAGCAGGCTGTCACAGATTACAGCCTTTACACGTATTGCATCCCCCGCGCCCAATCATGCTATACATTTCACCATAGCACCACCGTGTTAACATGTAATGAAGTAACATAATAGGACATGTGATGGCCAAGCTGAGTGGTAATGTACACTGGGAATATTACTTGGTGATCGTTGACTGTATAATGTTGTGCACATTGCCCTTACACACACCAAAAGGTCATGGTACAATACTATTTAAGCCCACTCACTGACAGCAGTAAGCAGCAGGTGTTGAAATTTGTTTTCATGCCTCACACGGAGCATATCTGGTATTAAAGGAGCCGGTGCTAAGCGGGTAGTTACACTTCATTAAAATTCTTCTATAATAACATTGAGACACTTTCTCATGACAGGGAGTTATTTGCTATTAAGTTTTATCAATTAAGACATGCCAGTTAAGGACACCCTGCAGATCCAGAGGTTCAACAGAGACCCACACATGATTCACTGCCTGAAGGAGAACAGCACTTAATTTCAGCTTTCGAACATTATCTGAATCCTTATTGCGTTTCATTTGGTGGACATTTATTACTGTCAGTGGTTGCTGATAACAAGGGAATGAGAAAAGAAGCATTTTTCCCTGCCTTTTGATTTATAATGCCATCATCTTGCAGACGAGAGCTGATCCATTCAGTGGTGAAATGTAGCATTTACTCAAGAACTGTATTTAAGTACAATGTTGACACATTTGTTCTTTGAGTATTTACATTTCATGCTACTTTATATTTCTGCCTCACTTCAGTTCAGCGAGAAATTTTTACTTTTTACTTCTCTACATTTATCTTATACGTATTAATTACTTTGCTGATTAAGATTTTACCACCAAATAATATAAATATAAAGTAGTTTCAATTTGCGCTGAATCAACCACAGACAACTCAGCTTACAGTACACATTAATGTGCCGGTGAAGTAATCCGATAATATAAATGATATATGTTGTGCATTATGCTGATAATAATTTTACATTAGACTTTGAATGCAGGACAGAAAGATGTGAGAACTTCTTCCACCGCTGGATCCATTTTACTGTCAGCGGGACAAGACAAATGACATGGCCACCACATGATTGGTGCAGGTTTAAAATCCAAAAGACTCATTTTTGTTTTATTATCTAGAATTATTTTTTTCCATTTGATCCTCGGACTGTTAATTGTTTCATGTTTGATGATTGCAGTCACAGACACGCATGGAGGGAGCAACCACAGTGGAAAACATTCTGAATTGTTTCACTTGATTTGAAGTGAAAGTTATGAAGCCTCCAAAGTCCTGAAAGATCATGATTATTTATCTTATGTGCACATGATTATGGATCTTGTTTGCACAAGATTTTAGATTTTAGATTTTTTTTAAATAATATTTTTGAATGGCAGTGCCACCAGAGAAATTGCACACCCTTGCATTAGATTAAAGGACCAGTCTGTAAAATTTAGTGGCCTCTAGAGGTGAAATTGCAGACTGCAAAGAAGTAAATACAGCTTGCCTAGGTAATAAAAACACAACGATTCTTATTTTCAGGTGATTATACACTAATAAAAACATACCTATGAGTATTATATTGCATTTCTGCCAATAGATCCTCCTAAATGTTACACACTGGAACTTTCAGTTAAGGTTAAGGAAATTGAAGAAGAAAAGCGTTTATTATTTACTCATCAAAACCAGAGATTGCAAAGTTCTTTACAACAAAAAAAGCACAAAGAAAACATGCAAAATCATATATGCGTACAAATTAAAGAATACCAAACCATAAAAATTACATCAGGTAATATAAAAAATAATGTTTAATTACTAACAAGATTTAAATTTAAGAATTGGTGTTTCATTTAATTTTTTTAATGTAACTACAAGATGTGAGAGATAAAAGCCATATTAATGACAGACACATACTCATTACAAATGAAGAATGTGTGCTCAATTAAAAGCAGTTACTTGAGATGACTGAAAAGCAATGTCAGCAACATCTGCGCACACAGACTAGTTACAAGCTGTTATTTTCAAGCTCTGACCACATCAGCAGTTCAGGACACTTTGCCCCAAGTTCTTTGCCAGGATGCACTTACAGCAGCTGCTGATTGATGGGATCTGGGATTGACGACAGCTCTCCAGTGAGTAGCTGGCTGCCATCTCGAATACTGACTGCCCCCTGTTCTTCTATACAGACACAAACACCTATAGCTTGTGTCAGGGTCAATTTCAGTTGCAGTTTTAAAATCAGTGGCCGTTCATTCTTGGGTCAGAGGTCGTTATGTTGCTAAGGTGACAAAACAAAGTGTAAGTACATACACCATGTGGATTCAGTCACCAAAACCTCTAGAAATATTCCAGAAACACCTTTGACCCATGCATGGCACCGAAACCGTCTTTCCATTCCCCGTGAAAACTTGAAAATTTGTTTATGTCATTTCATACGTGGGGTGTGTTCCTCACGCACATGCTCAGTCCATGTGTATGTAAATGAGCGCACATACTTGGGATATACTGGGTATTTGCTCGCCTCCATCTATCTGATCCCTAGAAAGGATCAGGAGTTTCATGTGACAGGACCATCCCTTTGGGTAACCGTTACATCCAACCAAAAATTTATGCACATTCTCACCCTCCCTTCACCCCCACTTTCCCCCCTCCTCCCCCACTCATTTGGAAGTCAATAAGAGAGACCCTCCAGAGATGCACGGGGCACTATCACAAGACCTGCTCACCTGATGCCAAACAGCACGGTTAGAAGTAAAGGAATCATGCCTGTGCCCAAGAAAGCAGGTAAGAAACCATCATCACCTGAATCTCTATGGACCTGTGAGGGGACTTAATACCGCGTGCCATGAGAGTGAAAGCATCACCTGTTTGTCATTCATCACTGAAACTAAATTACAATTAGTGTCTCTCCATTAAATAAAACACAGGTAAGTCATACTTACTCTAAGTTCAAATCTCTTATACTTGGTTTCTGCGCTTCAAATTTGGCAACTAGATCTGAGTGAAATTAGTGATTTTTGTTCTGCTTTTGATTGCTCATTACTATGTAGCCTCTAAATTGACAATTCAGTTTCTAATTCTAGTCACCGTTCACATTTCATAGCCCTTTTTCTTCTCTTTCACACTGAAATGCATTTGCAAATCATAACTCTTATCTTTCTATTAGCAGTAGTAGAGCATTTTCATATTCAAAATCATAATTGTTACTTATTTGATTCTTCATTTTCTCTCTCATTGTGAAACACTATTTCTAAATGTCCAAATGTCACATTAAGATCACATCAATAATGCAATAACTACATTCTTATTTTACTCAAAGTGTCACTGCTGGAGTTAGTAACACTTTATCAATTGCTTGTCACAGTGTTTTATTACCAATTTATTATGTGTTTCATTTGTTGTTTATTAGATGTTGTTAAGTTACCTCATACTGACCATCCTTGTAAGTTCGCTCCGAGCCAAACATCCTTCCTCACCTCAGATTCTGACAGTTTTTTTTGGCCCATTAATCATGTCAACAAAGTGCATGAAAAAGCCCCCGCCCTTCCCCACCCGGGCAGTTATGTCTTCTTCTGCACTTGTGCCGTCGCTTACTGAGTACCCTTCAATGTCATCCTCATCTGCGATATCAGAGCTCATATGTCTGTCTTCCTCGTTTCTCTCCCTACGCAGCGTGATGCCCATTGCTTCATTCTCTTTCTGTCACTACTACAGATACTTGCTGCATATGAAGATCTATTGCCCCTCTTGCTCCTTTAAGATATGTCAAATCCACGCTCAGTGTTTCTTATTCCATAATATTTTCCATAACTCAAACACCCTTGTGTGTCTCCCCCATACCAACTCCCAGCCCAAATGTTACTAATCCGTCCTCTGGCAGCTACAGTAATGAAGTGTGAAATGCTGCACAGTAATTCAAGTCCCAAAATGTAAAAGCCCATCTTGGTTTTATAAATGGCCGCTTGATTCTGCCATTATGTAACATACGGCACCCGGCCTCTACACTAACTTAAGGAATTAGTACCATAAAATTTTTACTTTGTCACTATAACTGAAAGATGCTCTAATAAACTAATGTCATTAGCTAATGTTGGTCGGATAAAATACACTAAACACGATTGAATAGCGTATTTAATGTGGCTTTAAAAAGCTTTTTTTAAAGGCTTTTCCGCTTGAATTCTTCCTTTTCCTCCCTCATCCATCTGCCTCTCCCTTCCATCTTAACCTCACATATTCACTCATCATTTGCAGGGCTTCCGTCCAGGGAGCCTTGACAGGAACCAGAGGGATGAGCCTGGGCCCACGCCACCTCTGCTCATCTCTCACCCTGCTCATCATTTCACTGTCTTCTGATCTTGCTGTCTCAGTGGGATATTTTGAACCTGATCTGCACAGATAGTGTAGCTCTGTCCCACTGAGAGGGGAATCTGGGAAGGGAAACAGTCCACCTCGCGACCGCGTCCAAGACAAACATCATCATGCAGCATCGGGACATCCAATGTTGACCTTTCAGAGGGGGGGCCTGTTGAGCTGTTCACTTATTTAAACACTTGCTGGGGAGGATGAAACTTGTGTTTTCTATCCTGTCGCTGGCGTGTTTCCATACCAAAATCTGTCTCACTGAGGATCTTTCATCCTTTTGAAAGTTATACACAAATCTGGCTCAGTTACTTGTCAGTCTTTGTTCAAACTCCGACAGCTTCATCCAGATATTCATCCATTATTCCCGACCTGATTCATGAGGCGCCATTTTTTTATGATCCCTCTACCCTTAAATATCTTAATACCTCACACCTCACTTTCACATCCCACTCTGTCTCCTCCAAGTCTCTATTGCTGTGATGTCAAGTCATCAATCTCTTTGAGTATCTGTTTATCTCTGCTGGGCTTTCCTGTTGATCCCGCTGAACGTGGACAGGCATCCGCACGGGTTTAACCTCCACAGAGCAGCCAGAGAGCTGGCACATCTCCAGTGACCCACCTCGCTTACTGCCAGCCTGATATCTCACTCCAAGGTTACTTGAGGCGTTCACCTCATGCCTCTCAGATAGAATCTAGAAACATCTTATAGAAGATTAATTTCTTTACAGTGTAGCCTTTCTCCGAACGTCTTTCTTCTAATCTGTCCTCACTAATTCCTCCTAATGCCTTGACTATTCACCAAGGGTTTTCTGTCATCGTGTTTCACCTGCTGTGTTCCTTCACGGACGAGATCAGGGACAGAGGGGAAGAAAGACTGATGAAGTGATCTGTCACTGGCGCGTTTCTGCTTCACCAATTTCCAATGACGACTACATGACCTTAACTCTATCCCTCGCTCTCCTGCCAAGTCTCTGCCGCTGTCCTCATGCGCTCTGTCCATCTGCTGTTCGGTATTATGTACATGGACGAACAATGTATGCAGACTTTCTTTTGAAGTCGCCCAGCAGGCTTGCTGCTTAAGTTAGCAAGAACATGTAGATAATATCCACACTCAAATCTGGCCTGTAATTGGACCCTAATCCTCAGTAGGGTCCAATTAATATTTCTGCATGCCTGGTCAATTATCAAATTTTCTGGTCTTAGGGGCTTAAGTCAGATAATTGTATTCCATATAATGGTCTCCTGACTAATAATAATAATAATAATAATGTATATATTTAGATTTTTAATTGCAGCACACAGTATTTTAGAGCTGTGAATCTCTGCTTTAAAACCCATCAGTTTTAAAGTTGGCCCTCTCACCCTCTGGAAACCCCACAACCCCTTTGGACACCATTCAGGGAAAGCAATGGTACCCCTTCAATCACATCCGATGTTTGCAGATGTTATAGCAGGCTTCCATTTATCCTCCTGGTTGTTGCTGGCGTCCTCCCCAGCCGAGGGTCATGAAGGCTGGAGAGGTTATGTTTCCTCAAGCTCAGGCATGTGCCAGGATTGACCATCCCACCTGAGAGAGCTGACTCTCCTCTTCAGGCACACGGGCGCCAGCACAGCTGAAAGCACCAAGAGTCGTATTTAAAACAGGCATTCATCAGGGTTATTAAGCGCATTTACATTTGGGTTAACAATCCGATAACACCACATAAGGGCCGAGCTTTAAACATACACACTTAAAAAACTAAAAAACAAAAGACATAAATTCTATTCATTAAGGAACATGGACATGCAGATACACAAAATACAGACAAACAATGTATTATGAACAAAGTTGAAACACAGGAACACAGGATAAGAAAACTAAAACTTAGAAATTGCTTAATTTCAGCAGTGGAATGTATCTAAATACATCTACTCAGGTCCTACACTTAAGTATTTTATGCTCCTTTTTTGCCTCTACTCCAGGTCATATCAGAGGGAAATATTTTACTCCGCTACATTACCAACTAAAACAGTGAAACGCTACTTTCACATGAATTCAACAGTAATATTAATCCAGTAATATAATTGTGTAACACTCACATGGCACACTACTTTCACTTTTAATGCTATACATTCATTTCTCTAATAACACTAATCTAATAATGTGACATTTTCAATGCAGGACTACTCGTAGCGGAGTACTTGTACAGTATAGTTGTGCAAATTTGACTTAAGTAAAGGATCTGAATACTTACTCCAACATTGCTTAATTCCATAGTGGAATTAAGGTAGGAAATGTAGTAAGCATATACCATCAACAGATTGGCTTCCTTGTAAACCTTTGAAGTTACTATGTTCTGTTCTGTACAGCAAGATTTCTTTTTCGATTTATAAGTATAAAAAAGATCTTCCCTCCATTATGGTAATGTAAACGGATGAGTAATATAAAAATCCACACCCTGTACAGTGTAGTGTACCATTTTTTTTAATATATATATATGCTGGGCTTATGGAGATTGAACTCTTCTGTAGCCGTTCTCAAGTAGCTGTTTGATTAACTGGAGTTTTTGTTACTTACTTTGTGTTGCCTTCATTTGTCAGCCAAGGAGGTTAATGCTTGATTTAATCCCCTCTTATCCTTCCAAACTGCAGGTACCAAATCACTGACAGTTTTACAGTTATTGCAAAAACAACCTCAAACCTCAAAACTCAAAAAGTATAGAGATAAATAGATAGATAAAGATATGTAGAATATTTCCATTTGCTAATATGATGTAGCAAAAAAAAGCCATCGTGGGTTTAAATATTTCACTCAATTTAATCTACCTTCAGTGAGTGTTGGAAAACGCTGATTCAAAATATATGTGTGATATCCTCGAACCAAGTGCTACTGTTAACATTAAAGATACATTTTATGTAAAAGCTGGTGGCTAGTATACACGTAAATGTAAAAATTAAAAATTGTAAAAATTAAAAATTAAGCATAAAGTAGGTACAAATATGAATTAAAATGCATTTACTACACAGCCATGTGAAATATGAAAATCACAGAAGGATGCTTCCCTTATATGGAAATCAGGAATATTGAGGCTGTTCTGTCTAATTCTGGCAACAGCACAGGACACACAAATCAAGCTAATGTGATGAAGTAACAGTCTGATAGATGAGTAAGAATGATGAGGAGCTAGTTGTCTGTGTGAAACTGGAGAAACAGTAACTGGATGACTTACCCAGTGGAGTGCCGGAGCATGACCTGACCAGCCAGTATTGGATCGCAGTTTTCTCTGAATGTCAGAAGACGCAAGTGACTCACAACTGGAGAAGGAACAAATTAACAGGGATTATACATCAGCCTACAGCCTGACACACATGCCCTCAACAGCCTGAAGTAACAGCAACGTACAGAAAGTATATTCTTAGAGTTAGACTCCCGCTGTCAGTGGCTATGATTTGTGTTATGTATGTTCTGGCTCCAGGATTCCTTATGCTGAAACCTGAACCTTAGCCAGCACGGGGAAAACTGCATGAATCAGTACAGAGCCGACATAGCTCCTCTGTGATCTACTGTATGTTGAGAGCAGTGGATGATTTACTGCAGATAAATGGCAGCCTGACCGAAGCACTGATGAAGGGAGAGGTTACAGAAAAAGATGAGAAGTAGCTGGCTGGAGTTACAGTAGCCTAAAGTGGTTATGACAGGCCACAATGCACGCTATTATGACGGGCCCTTTTGCACGATAATCACTAGCATACACACACACACGCACAATTAGGCGTATATATATATTTTACCAACAATGTGTTCTAGTTACGACCATATATCATTTTGTCTCATCGCATGATCAAATAAAGACTTGACAACAATCATATTACCCAGCAATCATCATTGCATATCTGTATATGACAAAAATACCAGAGAAAATAGAAAATTATTGTTTTTTTTTATAGTTTATTCATATTTCTTATGATTACAATAAGCAATTAATTTTGTTAAAGATTGTTCCTTACTATTATAACTACCCCCCCCCAAAAAAAAAAAAAAATAATAATAATCCAACCAGGTGTATTCTGTGAGGCAATCTGAATCACTCACACTCACGGTCCTGGGGAGTTTAATGTGCTATCCTGAATAGTGCTGTGTATTTACATATTTTGTTATACAATCCAATGTGAGAAGAATCTGTGAGGAGAGGCCATAAAACGTATTATCCTTATACACAAACTGCAGTTGACTGCACTAAAGTTGCTCTTTTTCTTTTTCCAGGAAGGAAAAACAGCAGCGCTGCAGAAGGTAAAGAGCAACGTGTTAGGAAGTCTTTGTAAATTGCCAAAAAATAATGAGAACCATTCATTCCATTAAATAAATGTGATCTGTGATATGTGATATGTGATATCCACTCATGATAAAGTTTCATGCATTTTGTTATCCTTCCTGTCTGTCCCCTCAGAAAAGCTGCCGCCATATGAGCCCAATGTCCCTGAACCAACCACCAGGGCTGACTTCATGAAATGTAAGCCTTTTTATGTTCAGGAAATACGTTTTTTTTTTTTTTTTTTAATTTAACAGTTTTGTCGCTAACTATTGCCAACTAATGGCCTCACAATATTAATTAGAACTATTAGCTAAGTAGTGCCCTAGAATGTGGAGTCTTTAGTCTGCCCAGATAAATGTAATAAATTCATTAAGTCTTAATAAAATGAAATACATTAAAACTATTTAGAAAGTAAAAATGGAAATTAAGTTTTAAGGCCACAGTTAATATAAAGATAAGTGAAACAATTTGCAGATATGCAGAAATGGAATATAAAATTAATAAGTATATTTTCATGAGTGTATGATCACCTGAAAATAAGAACTGTTGTGTTTTTGTTACCATTTTTATCTACAGATGCCACAGGTTTCCTTCCACAGTAGACTAAAACAGAGTTCTGCTACTGCACCACCAATCCTACAAAATGTTCCTTTAAATACAAATTGAGAAAGAATAAATCATCGCCTTACAATATTCTTTGTTTTAGAATAAATACAACAGAATGAAAACAGTAGGATTTTATCCCTTCTTATTGCTGGATTGTTAGTTCATTTTTGTTTGGTGAGTGAGTGAATTAAAGGACCAGTGAGGAGGATTTAGTGGCATCTAATGGTGAAGTTGCAGATTGCAGCTAACTGAACATCACTCATGTCTGTGTTTGACAACCTGGGAATGAAAACAGGCTGTGTGTAGGTGTGTAGGAGAAACCCTGGTGGCTTCAAAACTTGCTAAAGACACGAAAGGCCCTTTCTACAGCCAGGGTTTGTCCATTCTGGGCTAATGTAGAAACATGGCGGAGTCCATGAAAGTCAACCCGCAGCATCTGTAGATAAAAACAGCTCATTCTAAGGTAACAAAATCATAATGATTCATATATTCAGGTGATTATACACTAATCAAAACATACCTATGAATATTTTATTCCATTTCTGCCAATAGATCCTCCTAAATGTTACACACTGGACCTTCAAGTGCAAATCAATAAAATATAAAAATTACTTTAACTTATTTTTGTCATTAACAATGTTGACGTGGACATTTTGTTGTATTTCCTATTTGTAAATGCAGATATTTGCACCTGTGAGCAATACATTTGAACAAGACAAGATTTCAAATTCATTCTGGTCAAATTTTGATAATTAATTCTTAATTTCCCTTCTAACCAGTGGGCTTTATTCATACTTGACTTAAATTGTCATGTGAATAGACATGGGATACTTTCTTTATTGCTTTTTCTTCAGATCTTTATATCCCACCCTTATCCTTATCCCACTTTGCATGTATGTCTTCCCTCTCCATTCTCTCAGACTGGGTCCCCCTCTCTCTGGATGATAAAACTGCACAGAAACTGTTGTGGATTTCAGAGGGTGGGACCAAGGTGGCCCGTACATCAGACGCAGTCTGCCCATATCCCAACAGACCTGAGAGATATGAACACTCTCCACAGGTAGGCCTGGATGTGGTCTTAACACATAGCAATCACACACACAGTGTTGTTGTCTTTGGTTTTAATTGTAAGGGGACAAAAGTTATCTTTGTTGCTTTATTTTGAGTCACACCGTCCAATTACAACCAAACAATGCAGCAATCAGTCACATGGACACACATGTTGCTTGGCAATTGGACCGGTTTGGCAACATCTCATCTTAGATTTTAGTGAAGAGACTAAAACAATAATTTGTTTTATGTTCTTTTAGCTGTATATATACCATTTTCTATACACCCTCAGTTCATTAGTCATGTTAAGACTATCTGAGCAACTGCAGGCTGTTAGATGTTAATGAGGTGTCTCCTTCAGTTGTAGAAGAAGTACTGCGATCCTTTACTTCGGTTAAAAGTACCAATACAACTAGAAACAGTACAAGTAAAGGTCCTTCTTTCAGTACTAATCCTGCAGATAAATGTCCAAAATTATTGAACAAAAGAACAAAAACAAAGTTCTGATTCACAATTTTTTTTGGACTTTAATCTTTGCTTTTTTGTGAATTCTTTATATAATTGTATGTATTTATTGAGGCCTTGAGCTGGTATTTAAATGAAACTATATGAGGATTTTAAAGAAGAAATGTCTCTTTGGTGGAACTGCTAACAACCCATAGAAAATGAAACGGGACAAGGAGACATAAAAGCAAGAAGGTTGGGAACCACTTGTTTTCATCTTTTACCCTGCATTGTATTTTATAAGATTATCATGTGTTCTTTAGGTAAAAACTACAAAGTGACTTGCAACTCCACTTGTGAAATGTGTTATACTCAGACATCTTTAACTTTTACTTAATTACAGCGCTTGAGTAACTGTATTTTGTCCTGTGTCTCCCTCCTCCTTTCTCTAGGTGCTGTGTAAGGAGAGTATGCTGGGCCGCCGAGGCTACTGGGAGGTGGACTACGATGGCTGGGTGGTGATCGGGTTGGTCTGCGAGACCGCACCCCGCAAGGTCCAGGACGGGGCTTGTGGCATCGGTGAGAACAGCACCTCCTGGGGCGCCGGCTGGTCTGGTTCCTGCTACCAAGTCTGGAACAACGGCGAGAACGTGGACGTCCAGCTCCCCCTGGTGAGCACCATAGGCATCTACATCGACCAGCCCGCCAACATCATCAAGTTCCTCTTGGTGGAGGGAGACGCCGAGAAGGAGGTGCGCCTGATTCACAAGTTCAATGCCAAAATCCAGGAGAAGGTTTACCCCGCGTTCTGGGTTGGCACAAATTCGTTCTGCCATATTCGGAAAGGGGATCAGTGACACGTAGAGGGTCAAGTAGTGTAAATTTAAGAAGGCATCAGGAGGGAGATGGAAAGGTAGTGATGTTTGGGGAACAAGAGCAGGAGCTGTAAAGCAGAACTGAAGAGCATTATGACGTATTTGTAGATTGTGTTTGCATGAAGAAAGCTTATTCATATATTATATCCAAAGATGCCCAATTATTTTATTTACTGTTGTGTATCTATTCATATATTTTATGTAACTTTTAGGCAATGTCCTGTATGTTCTACGTAACATTGCATGTACTAGAGTGCTTGCTTAACTTAAAGGTGTGTATGTTTTTTATGTGCTGAATGTAGTCAATAAATTCAATTATTGTGTATGAACACTGACACTGTGTTATTTTTGTGTGATACTGCAAATCAGGGTTGAGCAGAGATCAGATATTAACTCATTTTCTTCACTTGCACAGTAGAGTGCTGAGGCCCTCTAGAGGCCTTTAATAATACTACATCTTCACACACAAACACAACAAGTCTTTATTCTCTTGGTGTTGCTCCTTTATTTGAAACATAAAAGTACTTAACGGAACATTTATTTGTTTTTGAATTGTCAGAGATGGATATTTGTTCCTCTCAAATCAACCCATCTCTCTCTCTTTCTCTCACACAGTCAGTTTCTCATTCATTCAGTCATTTCAACAAGAGATCTGGAGCAAAATAACCACCATCCCCTATAACTCAGTATTGATTTACAATCATTCTATCAGTCAGTCATTCATTGGCAAAAGTAAAAGTACAAACAGGCATGTTATGAGGAGGTGCTGGTGTCCTCAGCACACATTTTGAAAAAGCCACAAGCTTCATGTTAAGTCTGGTTTCTACCCCTTTAAGGAATAGATTGGGTTTTTTTCGTTTAATGGGGGCGGGGGTGACAACAACTGGCCTGTTGGTCAACTTACCAGGTAAACAACAGGAGCATGCAGAGAAAACATCCATGTGGTCCAGGAAGATCACTGGCTCTTGTGCCTGATGCTAAAACTTTAGCATATAATGTGCTAAATGACAGCATGGCCATGAGCATTAGCTTAGCTTAGCATAAAGACTGGAAGCAGGGGAAACCAGCTAACCTGGTTCTCTCTGAAAGTCCAAAGATACACTTATCAACACTATCAGAGCTCACCAATTCACACAAATGTCATTTGTTTAATCTGTTAACACAGAATTATAATTTTTTTTACATGTTGGAAGACTTCTTGGCAAACAACACGCACCTGGGTGATTTCCTGGGGTCTTGTTGTCTGCACATTGAAGTTACCAGACACTAGCACTATGGTTACGTTCATGAGTCCCGAAATACGTTCATTTCACCCTCCAGGTTGTAATTGAGTTACAGCTCTCAGGAATTTCTGACAGCAACGGCAAAACCACCATCCATGGCAGTTACATCTGAATCCAATATTAACATTAATACAATCAATTCACTTCATCTAAAAATGAGCTATACGCAGTTTGCGTCTAGTTTCTTTTGTTAAGTTGCTCCAAGAACGTAACTATGCAAAAGTAGCTAATTTAGAGGACTTAAATGACGGGACTAAATAATGGGCGTTTTTCTTCTTCTTGTTCTTTGTATGAAACACATACAGGAAACAGATATGTATGTGTGCCGATTATAGAAAAATGTAGTTAATTAGTGAGGTTTAGAGGAGTATTTCTGAACTTTAAAGAGAGCCAGAGTAGCTGTTTCCCTCTGCTTCCAGTCTATATTAAGCGAGGTATCATTTTTCTCAGCCAACTCTTGGAAAGAGGGCACAGAAGTGTATTTCCCAAAAAGAGTTAAAGTGTTGCGAATTTTACGTCAGAAACATACAAACGCGTTGTCATATATCTTTTAGGATAAAACATCACTTGACTTTAGAGCTACTGCGCATTATAATGCTAACATCGCTCAAAATGGTCTCTGCTAGTTGGCATAGCAGCACCGGAGCCAACGATCGACCCGGGTACAGATGGCTGTTCCCCAAGTTCTCATCACTTCACAGGTAATTTTACCAAAGCAAACCAATCAGCACACAAGGTTCGCAACAATTAACGATCGGTCGTGCCAGTAAGGCTTATTTATTCAACCTGTTTTTTTAGTGTCAGTGTTGGTCAGTGCAGTGGGTCACTACAGACACAGTTTGAGGCCCTAATGTAGTGTGGTGGGGTGTGTAGTAACTAGAATGGTGAAAATGTGTAGTGACGAGGAGGGAGGGGGAGTATAGTGTTGAAATATGTTATTAGTGTTTATAACAACACGTCTTTCTGTCGGTTACTCCTCAAAGCATGTGCCGTTAATTTTGGTTAGTGAGAAATAAATGGAGGTACTAGCTTTTACACGGTTTCACATACTGTAAGTCACATCTGCCAGACATTCCAGCTCTCCTTCTGTCACCACAACTTCTCTCCACGTTTTCCTTTATCGCTCAGACCCTCTCCCTCTATCTCTATCCCTTTCTCTTTCTCTCTCAACTCGCCTCGCTCTCTCTCTCTCTCAGTGCTTCAAGGAGAAGTCCCCTGTGTTGAGACGGGGCCGAGGCAGGGCTCCAAACATTTCTGTCCCATCAGTGGCTCCGGGGGCCAGCAGGGCCTTCATGCTGGCGGCAATGTGCTCCAGGTCAGCACAGCCCACCTGAAAGACAAAACACACAGGGGCTGTATGTTAACAGGGCACAGGAGGTTTCCATCCAGGCAGCTTTATACACGGTGGTTAAAAGGAGAACACCTGGACAGAAATGGAAATATTCCCTCTCTCTATCTTCACGCTAACTTCTAGTAGGTTTAGTTGTTTTTTTTTATTATCTCTTCTCTTAGTAAATTGTGCTTGATATTCTGAAATGTTACTTGCGCGACCTCACACAAATGTCACACGCACTTTTACGGTCACATGAACTGATGGAGCCGTCGTGGCCATTAGACGGTGCATCAGAATACTGAGTCCTGAATAGTTTCTTTGTCTTGGTCTTCAGACAGCATGAAATATGTCAGGATCAACACCAAAACACATAAAAACACAAAACAGCAGTTCCCTTAATTATTCATTCTTTTGTTCATTAACAAGTGTATTTGATGGAATGACATTTAGACACTCTTATAGTAAGAGAGACATTCTATTTTTCGTTATAAATTGTTTATTAAATTTCTATTTCTAGTGATTTTGCATTAGAATATATTAGAATATATTATCGGGACTGGCACAGACATGGGAGAAGGTATCTTGATATTAACACTTTTCTACTGACCTGCAACTGATCTGTACATCTATTCTCAATCAGAAATAATATAAAGCTGCAACCTCTAGCTTAGTTTTATTCTTATTTTGATATTTAGTAAGCACACAGCTATAATCAGCACTAAGTTTCTATAATTATTTCATAACAGGCCAGTACTGGAATTACTGAATGACTGCTAACGGAGTAGTTCTCACGGTTTGGTATTAGTGCACCAAGGGCCTGTGTCATGAAACTGGTTCTACTTTGGGTTACCTGGTTTCACTGAACCTCACTGATCCAGCCACAGTACTGCTACTAAACATCATCAGATGATGAGTGGAGAACTTAATAAAACACAAGATGAAACAGTGGCACTTTGGATGTGTGTGATATTCTGTGATATTACAAGTAAAGGCTTGAAATAGATGTTATATAGGCCTTCTTATATCATCATTATATAGGACTTTTAAATATGCTCAACAAAACAAATCTGTTATCAGTGGGTAATATGTTTAAAACAGTTCAAATTCAGTTGTGATGCAGGAACAGAAAGGAAAAGGACAAATGAAGAAAGGCTTGAAGAAAAGAAATCTTACCAAAATGTTGCAATTATAATTTGCAATCTCTAAACAGTTTTAATACCAGAAGGTCCCCTCGGGCTGTCGGGAACATTGTGCCATTGTCAGTGTGGTAAATGATCTGTTTGTTATAAACCCTATCTCTGATATAATTATCATAGGCAATGCAATGCAAAATGTCTCCTTTGATCTTTATCACTGTCACTTTACTGTAAACCTGCAGTGATCTGATTGGTCAATAGTAAGCCAGCATTATGCGATCATGAAGCTTGAGTTGAGCCCAAAGATTGCCGGCTATCCCACTCATCTCGCTGCGTGGTACAGGCCCCCTGAACATTTTAATCTCTGCATGCAGACCAGCAGCTCTCTTTCTGTAAAATGATATGTGCTCACCCGTTCTCCGCTGTTGCCCTCTCCTTGAGCAGATCGGTTTCCTCTGCAGCCCCACACAGGCACAGATACAGGCAGCGAGCGGGCCAGAGCCATGGGGTGGGCGTGACGGGACGAGTACGAGGCCTGACCCATAGCCATGCCACGTGACGGCGGAGGGGCGTCCTCGCTCAAAGAGCCTAAGACAGGTAGAAAATACGTATGGGGATAATGTTTTATCTAATGGGACTACTTTTAGTCAGCACACCGAACTCTTACCATCAGTGCTCTCTTCCTCCCCGTCAGACTCAAAGAACGGCTCGCAGTCCCGGGACAGAGAGTCCTCGTCCATGGAGAAGACACCTGAAGCAAAACGACGATGAATCCTCAGAATCCATGTGCATGAAAAGCATTTAAAGACACAGATTAACTGCTTCACTCCTCACCAGCGCTTTCATTCCCATAGGGTCTCCTCTCATCCATGTCCTCCTCCTCCTCCTCCTCCTCCTCCTCCTCGTCCTCACACTCTTCTTCCAAGTCCACAATCCCGGACCTCTGTCTCCCCTGCTCGGCCTCCAGGACACCCTTCTCCCGTTCCCTTTCTCCATTATCGTTCTGCCCGGTGCCCTGCCCGGTCACAGCTCCTGAGCTGTAGATTGACGGGTAGCTTTGGGAGTACAGTCTGCCATTGGGACTGACTCCCCCCACCCCTCCGTCTCCTGTAAAGCTCTGGAACGACAGAAAAAAAAGAATATTATGGCTGTGAACATTTCGAGTGACTGTAATTACAGTGCAGCACACGCAGGCCACTCACCCCCCTGTGCCCGGGGTCTGAGGTCAGGTCAACCATCAGCTTGGTTCCTCCCTCTCCTACTGCCTGGCGTGTGTGCTTTTGGGCTGTTAGCATGGTGGTGGAGTGCAGCACGCCGATGTCATCCATGTAGCGGCGCGCCGACTCGGCCAGAAACCCCTGACCCCATACATTATAGGAGAAATCACACTCCTTAGGAAAGGCACTGCCGCTCTCCCGTTTCCTCCTCCCGTCTACGTCTCCAGCCGACGACCGGAACTTCTTACAGGCTGTAAGTATGGCCAAGTCGCAGCCAGACTTTTGGCAATACGTCTCCGCAGCGGAAAGTAGCGCCAGCCAGCTCTCTTTGTGGTTGTCCGGGATCTCGGGCTCGGATGACTGGGTGATGGAGGCCATAATGGTGCTAAGTACTGTTTGCAGCTTTCTTAGATAGACTGACTTGATGAGATAACTGAGTAATGCTGATGAATGAGGTTTAGACTAATCAGAAGCTTGGGTAATGGTTGATCTTGGGGGCAGCTAACTTAATACAATACTGACAGGTAAACTCTGGTAGCTGTGGTTCATCTGAATTTTGCTCAAACTGTTGAAGAAAATCACTACTGTTTCTTTTTGTCCTGCTGGTGTACGGTTAGTTTTTGCTCTGGCGAAGATGTGGGAGGACAATAATGATCTATCATGTAGAGAGGCACTGGGTGACTTTAAAGATATGAACTATAGGGCGGTGTCCTTACACACCGGAGAGCCAGGGGAGAGAAGAGATGTTGCCAAGTTGCTGGTGATACCTGGGGGGGAAAAACAAAAAACAAAAAACAAAAAAAAACAAAATCAAGATTAGCTGTAAAACTTGAAAAATGGAAAGAAACGCAACAACAAACGCTTCTTCTATCTTCACCAGAGATTGATTATGACTGAGAGTGATTGGACATTTAAATGCGTGCAGATGAACAACCTGTTTAAACTCATCTGTCCAATGACTGTCGCAGCCCCACCCCCCCTCCATGAGCTGACACCAATCTATGCTAACTGTAGCTACAGTGGCTCTCCATTGATCTCCTCTCTTGCTGCCATCTTTGCAATCGTTTCTGTCTCGTTTTTAAACTGCATGCTGCGGACTTTCTGTTTTTTCCCCTGCACGGTCGCTGTCGCTGCTGCTGCTGCTTGGTGCAGCTGCTGCTGCTGTTGTTGTTGTTGTTGTTGTTGTTGTTGAGCTTGTTGTTTATTCAGTGTTGTGTGCAGCCTCCTCATGATGGAACCACATTTCACCTCCATTTTTCAGGCTTTAACAGGAGCCGAGACGCGAAAATATAAATGACACAAACGAGGGAAGGTGTTCGCCTACCTGTTCAGTTTCTTTCCTCCACGTTGCCAGATGTTTATCAATCCCAAACTTTACTTCTTCTTTTTTTTGTCTTCTGTATTCTGCCTTCTCCAACGGGTTCTCTCCCCTAGCTAGGCTCTACACTAGCAGCAAGCTAGCAAGGATTATTAACTGCCTTTCCGGTCAAGAATTCCAAAATAAAAGTTTGTTTTGTTTTGTTTGTTTTGCACAGAGAGGTATTCTATCCGATGAGGAATGTGTGGTAATGTAATTTAAATTAAGCTTTTTAAATCTGACATTTAGTCGAATAGGCTATAATATGTTTAGCTCATAGCAGGCATAAATAAATATAATAATAATAATATATAGTAATGTATAGTAAAAAATGTAAAATGACTACATTAATTATTTAATTGCATGTAGCTGCCAGAGCCATTAAAATATAATATCGTACATATATATTATATGTTAATGGCTCTGGCGTGAAGTAAACAGACAAGCACACAATTCAAGATGATAAAGTTGTTGTTGTTGTTGTTGTTTTTCTTTTAATAAACAATTTATAACGAAATTACATTGTTATTTCCCAGGAAGTTTGCAACGAAATAACTAGTAACAAAGGGTTACTAAACAGTATTATCACCCTGAACACAATGTGTAAGAGTTATAACTTAGCTTAACATCTGTTTTATTTTATGGCAAGAGTCGAAATTAATCCTAAAATGCGTTGAATGTATCATGTGACAAAACTCTTTTAATCTGAAGTTGGCCCGGATTCGGTTTGGTTTTAGTTAACTCGGTCCAACTTGACGTAGCTCTGACGTTCATGTTTACTGAACGCACGTTGTACACGTGACCGAGTTCTGTGGGCGGGCTCGTACTCGCCTTGTTCTCGTGCACGTGTACACCCCACCTCCTCCTCCTCACTGAAGCCCACCGACCAGCTGCTCACAACTTACAGGATTACTGAAAAAAATAAAAACGAGTCAGTGCAGCTGCTGTCAGATAAATGATGGGGAGTAAAAAGAGTATCTATAAGGCTGTCTGTAGTCATGTTGGTATAATGATAAAAGTATTGATTATATGCACGCTGTTATCAGACAATATGGACCCCCTGCACCATGCAGTTCATTCCAGTGAGCAGCCCTGCGATAAAGGCTGTTTTATTTGATTGTTTTACTTTGAAAGTTTTCACTAGTGTTGTTAGTATGTTATAGAGCAGGAATAACTCAATTTGGCTTGCAGCTGGGGCCATTTTTGTGAAAGGACAGGAGGCCAGCTGATAAACAAACAACAATATTTAGCAGATAAAATGAACAGACATTAGGTTCACTGATGTGTTGACTTCGTAGTCGTAATCAGGAACGCTGCACTGAACCTAGCATGTTTTGACTCATGAGCCTGATATAAGCAACCTTGCATACAAGGTAGACAAACAATTGTCACTTAAATTAAACACAGTGGTTTAGGATTTGTATGAGGTGGAAAATAAAGGGGAAACTCATCCGTTTGTTTTCACTGAATTGCATGTTTTGTTGTCAACATTTCAATGTTTGCTATCCTCGCTTATCTTTGCCAAGAGATACATCCAGTCGCAGTACGTGAACTTTTCCCAGAAATCAAGTGTTGACTTCAGAGTATTCACTGCTTTCTAGTGGCCACAGTGAGGAATTTAAATTAGACTGTGGCTAACACACAGTGTTAGTGTAATTACTATTAAGTATCAGTATGTACGACAATTATTAGTGTGATTATTGTAATTGTAAATCGTACTGGAGACGAGTATTACTGTAATTTCTGCCTTCCTCCCTGTGGAGGTGAGTGCTCAGAGGGGAAATGTAATTCTACATTAAATTCATGGCTAACAAACGCATCCTCTATGTAATGCATTGCAACAAACAAACCTGCAATAAATGCTGTGTATCAGAATAAAAAGGGACGATGGACATTTCTGTCAACTGTCACATTTACACAGGTGCAGTGAGAAACTGTAACACTACATTAGATTGAGGTTACCACAAAGTTTTAAAAATGCACTATTGACTAGTAAACACAATGCGTATCATCTCTTTAAGAACCAGTGTGTAATATGTAGGAGGATCTACTGGCAGAAATTGAATATAATGTTCATAGGTATGTTTTCTTTAGTGTATGATCACCTGAAAATAAGAATCGTTGTGTTTTTGTTAACTCAGAATTTGAATTTAGGGGGTTTGTAATCTAGATAGCACTAAATCCTACACACTGGTTTTTTTAAGTTGATATGGCGAAATCATTGCACAGGGTTGCTTATTTACATGTCCAGCAGAGAGGGCGCAACATTAGTATCTGAAGTTGTGTCTCTGGCCGACTGGTATCTCTGGTTTGGCCTCCACCAACTAAGTAACAAACAAGTTAGACATGCTGGCATACTGATACTAACATGTCAAACCCTTCTAAACGAATGCAAGCGGCTCAACTGAAGCAAACAGAAACAACCATAAACTAATACCTCACACAAATAAAGCGTGTCTGAGTGTTTATTACCATATTATGGCCTTGTTTTGAAGAAAATAAAACCCCCCTAAACCAAATTAGTGTATGCACTACCGTCTGATTGGCTCAGGTTGCCATGACGTCCATTTGGGGGGGGCGGGGCTTTCCGTGAGCAGGAAGTATGACGTAACATTTATTATGGAAAAACGAAGTGGAAACAGAGGTGGCGGAACAATGGAGCAAAACGTTGAAGATTACAAGGTATTTACAGGTTTTTACGATATGTTACGGTCGGTTATTCAAATGTACGGACGTTGACAACTTTCCTCCCGTTTCGAGTGAGTCATTTCGGGTGAAGGTACTCGAGCTTGCTGTCAGTGTTCGCTGTTGTTAACCACTTCAAGCTAGCTCTCGGTCCACAATACTGTTCGATAAAGTAAAGCTGTACAGCGTCTGTCAACACACAGACACTATAACACTGTCAGCAGAGTATGGCCCGTACTAGATCATCAAAGTAAAGTGTGAACAAGTTCTGCTCGGTTCGCTTTCACCGACTGACCTGACAGAGGACTCATGTGATTAGCGTCTGTCATTAACCAGCTCTTTCTTATGTGTTTTTATTATTGACCTGCCACAGCTACGGGTTAGTTCTTTAAAACCGGGCACATTCAGCCTGGGAATATCAATCCATAGCCAATCCCATAAAATTAAATTTGGATAATTGATCAATTATTGAGAATATCTTCAAAATCAGCAAAAATGTCAACATTGCCTGGTTCAGGGATGCTCAATTATGCTTGATTATTATTAAGGAGTTTGCCTTGGTGCATGAAAATCACAAAAAAATCGAGTACTTTTAAAATATAAATAAAGATAGAAAGATCTAAAGCAGTACAAGAATGATATTTACAATGTAAATATGTGATGTTTTTTACCATATCAGAATCAGCCTCATTTTAGCAAGTGGTTTTTATGCCTCACGAGGAAAGGGACCTGATTTAGTTGGTACTTAAAAATCTATACATATCACAAAAAAACAAAACAATTATAAATTTAAAACACTGAATATCAGAGTCAGATCATCCAGAAGTTGCAGCTTTACAAAAGGGAAGATTTGTGCTTCTTTGTCACAGAAACACTGTATATCAGAGTAGAACGAATTATTGGCATTGTCAGCAGATGTTATCTATCCTCTGTGTATTTAAAAAAGATCTAAAAATAAATAAATAAATAACCACGCATACCTACATATGTAACCCCCATCCATGCGCACACTCACTCAATATCTTTGGTCAGAATAAAGCAATTTGAATACCTCATCTTAGGCTGTGGGGATTTATACTGGCCTTTTTTTACAGATGTTTTACACTTTATGTAAAGAAAATATGAATTGAGAAAGTAATAAGCAGAAAAATAGATGATGAAAGTAATCATTAGACGAATCCCTATTAGATACAGTTACTATACATTTAATAAGCATGTTCCCATTAGTGGAATCACAACAGTAAGAGAGGTTTCTCTTTATTTCAGCTTACATTTGTGTGTTTTCTTTCTCTTCAGCTGATATTTGAGAAGGAGGGAGTGTACCTTCACACAAATGCCAAGAGGAGTAACCAGGACACAACAATCCCAGGGTTTATCCGGATCGTGGAGCGGGTAAGCATATCTGTGTCAGTCCAGGTGGTAAAGACACAAAGAGGGAACTCAAAAAAGCACTGCGATTTAATAACCAATGCTTTTGTTTTAGGCCGGGGTGCCAGCTTTAGAGTGGAGCCCACTTGAAGATGAGGGCCGCACTGCCCCCGCTGTGCTCTACACCAAAAAGGTCAGTACTCACCTGTTTGCTACACATTAAAAAGAGTTTTAATAAATTTTTTTCTGTCTCAAATGCGATTCCCATCAACATTTTCTCTTACTAATTAGGATGGAGAAGGAGGGGAGGAGGACACAAACTTCGACCCTGGTTATGAGCCAGACTGGGCAGTTATCAGCACAGTAAAGAAAGATCGAGAACACGTCCCAGTCAGAGATTCAGGTGCAGTGTCCACTTCTGTCACTTTGAGCAAACAGTTATGTTAAGAAAGGATTCACAAAGCTAAATGTCATCTATTTCTCCTGCAGGTCAGTGGTCGTTCTCTCTGCCTCTCTCGGAGTTATACTCTCTCCGGAGGGCTCGCTTCTCCTTGGGTCGAAACTTCCTGGTGTTTACTAGTAGAGGAGGCCACCCGCTGCCTCCTCTGCACTTCCACCGAGGAGGAACCAGAGAGCTGCTTAGGGCCATGCACCGTTACATCATCCTGGACCAGTAAGTGTTATTATCCCAGTTCTAGCAGCAGTTTATGTCTTGTTGTTACTGTTAGTATGTTAGAATCCATCACATGACAGCTGATGTAGGGTTTCAGACAAAGCTGTTTTTATCTTTGTTGACAAATCACATGAGTGTGGAAGAAACATCACATGGTTTCTGTTGTTATCATCAGGTCACCGGTTGACGGGCGGCTCTTCCTTGCCTACCCTCATGACTCAGGTGCTCTCTCTCAGTCCTTTGATAAGCTGCAGCTCCTCGATGACGGAGGCTCAGATCTTGTTTCGGTAATTTATTTCATTTTTTGTATTTGTAATCGAAAGGAAAAAAACATATACCATAATAATGCTGTTAACAATGTTATGCTTGATCATATGAAGCTGCTTGTGAGCACACATTGATCATAAGATCTATATTATTAGCTTGTTGATTAAAACCGATGACTCGCTGAAAAACCAAAAACACAGTGGGAGGGAGCAGATGAACACGAGACAGGTTGTTGCCATTCTCAATCAAAATAATAAAAAACAAACCTCTAAAAAGAAAAGAAGAGTTATTTTTGAAGGTTTGGTCACCTTTTCTAGACCTGAAGAACTTACTTCTAAGGGGCAATGGAAGACCCCTTTTATAAGCCCATTTATGGGACACACCACATGATATGGCTTCTGATTACTGGTTACCCTAAAACTCGTACATAAAGTGGACTGGAAACAATACTTATTTTCGTATGATTCATTAACATACTTTTTTGATGTATATTAAGGTTTATTTTTCTTTCTGTTTAATCTTATTCATTATTTTTCTGTATTTTAGATTTCTTTTTCCCTGTTTGGGTTATGCTGTATGGCTGTCTGGGCTGGGGGGGAATTTTCTGTGTTAAACCCAATAAAAAGTTGGGTTTTTTTAAAGTAAAAAACCTCTATATCTGTTTGTGATTGTGTTGTCTTTCTGCCTGCATAGAGATTTATCCAGGACCCATATGCCACCACGTTTGGTGGATTCTCCAAAGTCACCAATTTCTTCAAGGCAGCCCTCCGACCTCCAGATTCCTCCGTCTACTCGCGTACTGCTCAGGATCCCAGTTTCCCCCTCCAGCCCGATGAAGAGCCCGGCTTCGAACTCATCACATGTGTAAGAGAAGGAGTCAAAAAAACAATTTAGAACACACAGTCATGTCTAAAACACAGACACTATAGATTGTTATAATGTAAGTAGACATAGTGTTTGCATCTGTCTTTCAATTTAGGGGGTAGAACTCGGTCCCAGACCAGACGTCACCAGGGGACAACCTATGGACAAATGGGAGGAGTTTCTGGACCCACAGGGGCGAGTGAAGAACCCAGAGAGGATCAAAGAGCTTGTCTTCAGAGGGGTAAGACAGTTACAGTAGCAGTATATCTGCTATCTGGAAGACACACTTGGTTTCTTTTTTTCAAACTTTTATCTACCAAATGCGTGTGTGTGTGTGTGTGTGTGTGTGTGTGTGGTTTCATTCCATTCTTGTCCATTGCAGGGCATCACACCTAACTTGAGGAAGGAGGTTTGGAAGTTCCTCCTGGGCTTTTATCCATGGAACAGCACTACCAAGGAAAGGGAGGACATTCTGCGGGTCAAAACGTTAGTGTTTTTATTACTGAGTATCTCATCCTAACCTAACCCTGTATTATGGCTAACGGAATAGTTTTGGGGAATACGTCATTGCTTTCTTGCCAAGAGATAGATGAGAAGATTAAAATCACTCTTGTGTCTTGTCGGTTAATACCGCTAACAGCCATTTAGCTTGCCAGTTGCCACGCAACCAGTGGAGACTCCAGGAAGTGACTGGATTTGGCCAAGAAACAGCCCCACACACATTTTTTTCACACTTCAGTTTTTGTACAGATTACACAAACGAGATATAACGTGTTAATTAGTGAACTTTAGAAATGTTGTTACTTTTAGACAGCAGGGTGTCCGTGGAGTCTTAAAAAGTCTTAAATATAATTATGACAAGTATTAAAAAAATATGTGATGACTTGTATAAAGTTGCATTTTTCAATCTCACTTTTTTGGGAAAAAATGTATTAATCATGCTCTAACAACTACAAAATGAAATTAACATGAAACTAAATACTGATTTTCCTTCATATCCTTCCTTTTATTTAGCTAGTAAGGATTTAAAATTGGTCTTAAATTGTATTCGTAGTGGTCTTAAAAGGTTTTTAAATTTAACTTGTTGAAACCTGCACAAACTCTGGTTCAGCCTAGCTACCCTTTCCTCCCTGTTTGTAGTCTTTGTGCTAAGCTAAGCTAACTGGCCATAGCTTCATATTTGCGTCACAGTGTGGTATCAAGCTTCTCATCTAGCTCTCGGCAAGAAAGCGAAGAAGCGTATTTCCTTTAGGAAGTCAGTGACTGTAATGCCTTTCGGTGTCTGCAGGGATGAGTACTTCAGAATGAAGGTGCAGTGGAAGTCAGTCAGCGAAGAGCAGGAGATGAGGAACTCTCTCCTCAGAGGATACAGAAGCCTGATAGGTCAGTCCTGCAATCTGTCCAAAAACAGCAGATCTGTTCACTGAATCAGTCAGCTGCCTGTGAGAGCTGCAGTAGATTTTGAAGTTGAACTTGTCTTTGTTCTGTTGTGACAGAGAGAGATGTCAGCAGGACAGACCGACACAATACGTTCTTCTCTGGGAACGACAATCCAGGCCTGACTCTGCTTCATGACGTGCTGATGACATACTGCATGTACAACTTTGATCTTGGTGTGTATTTCTGAATTGTTAGCAAACGAAGGTGCACCAATACTAATCGCATTTCAGTACTAATACGGATGTAAATGCAACAAAAGCAAGTTATTTCTTGTAAAGTAGTTGCTGGAACAAAAGCATTGTATGACTTTAATCGGATTATGTGCTTACAAGTGCTTCATAGTCTAACTAATCCTGAAAAATAATCCCAAAATACAGATGTTTTTTTTGATTACAGTTCACCTCATGAACATTAAAGGGAAGTTTTAGGTCTGTGTTTCTCAAATGTTTCGATGTCAAGGACCCCCAAATTGATACACATCAGACCATGGACCAGTATTTGATAAGATGTACTCTCGGGGTTCCCAGATATTCCATAACTGTCTATTCTGATTGGCAGATTAACAGTAAAGAGTGTGAAACATATGAACAGAATATTCATACCTATTCATACTCTCATTAGACTTACTTCTAGTCAAATAATAATTGTGAAATTCAAATATTTCCCATTTTTCTGGGCAACACTTAGTTGAGAATTACTGTTTTAGATGATTTGAGTTGGTAGTAATCATTCAGTAAAACCTATCCATGTCACCCTAACACTGTTGTTTACATCCACCCAGGTTATGTCCAGGGGATGAGTGATCTCCTTTCTCCTCTCCTGTTTGTCACCCAGAATGAGGTGGAGTCCTTCTGGTGTCTGACAGGCTTCATGGAGCTGGTGGTTAGTAGTAATGTCTGTCTTTCTCAAGAAACATGTGACCTTTTTTATTCAAAAACAAGCTTAGTTTCAGTTGTTCCATCTACTTGCATTGAATAGAGGCATCAAAGGTCACTCAGTGGCTGTACAGCTGTGTCACTGGATTCACAGGAATCAGTGATGAGGACTACAGCTCAGCACAAACCCAAAACAGAAAGTTTGACTCAAAAGCTTAAATACAAACCTTGTTGTTCCTGCTTTGTGCGGTCAGTTAAATGTTTCCAGTGTGGTGAATTGCTTCATCAGCAGTTCTGATTTAAATGAATCCAGAAAGCTCACACTGTTAAATGTGTGGGTTGGATGACTTTCAGTTTGATCTTTGTTAAGTTTTCAAACTGAATAAGTGTATATAAATAGCAATATTTTCAAAGGTAAAGATATTTGATGTGCTCAGTTATGAATAAATTAGTCCATTTCCATGTAGAAAACTGTCAACCTGAGGTCTCTGAGTGTCTTAAGTCTTTCCCCTTTTCCTCTGCAGCACCAGAACTTTGAAGAGTCTCAGGAGGCCATGAAGCAGCAGCTCCTCCAGCTCAGTGTCCTGCTGAAGGCTCTGGACCCGGAGCTGTGTGACTTCCTGGGTTAGTCAGCTAATACTCATCCAGTCAGGCTAGATTAGAGTCAAATAAAACCTGAGGCGAAGCTGGGCGCTTGTAGCAGAAGTTATTAGGACAGTGCAATGAAAGGTAGATCAGAAACAAGAATTAGGCAGATGAGAGGCTATTGTATGATATTATACATCATACATTATGTATTAAAGTACACACACACATCTGCAGACCATGTTGATATTCATGATAGTGTATGCTAAAAGAGGAAGTGAATTTCCAGTGTAAAATGTTCTTAAGACAAAACTCCTGATATTACTTGTTTACAAGGAGATCATTGTTCTTTTTCTGTTGGTCTTAAGATTACAAAAAAACAAAACAAAGCTCTTTGTTCCATCAGATTCTCAGGACAGCGGCTCGCTTTGCTTCTGTTTCCGCTGGCTGCTCATCTGGTTCAAGAGAGAGTTTTCCTTTGAGGACATCCTCATCTTGTGGGAGGTGAGTGCACCACAGCTGCATTTACTTGTATATATGGGTATTTTTATTGTGCTAAAACATGATAAATTACAGTCAAGTGAGATAAGACTCAGACTCGCTTTAGTCCTTTGTACCTTGATGGTGTTTAAGACTCTACCTGACTCTGAATTTTGTCAGTTGAATTGGCTGTTCAATACAAGATTACATCAAGAATTGATATTCGTTCCTCTTTCTTTCAGTTCAGCACCACACTAAACTTCTATATCAGCAGTTCCAACAGGAAGTGTGGCTACATGAGTCTCATTTTAAGGCCTTTTGTCAACTGTGATGTGAAAACATCAGATTCAGTCAGAGAAAGAAAAAAGTGTGCATCCTGCTCATAGTTCAGTTATAAAGCACACCACTGAGCGTCTCTCTTGCCAGCTTGCTGAGAGCACTGTCAGCCGTAGAGTCAATCACAGTGGACAGCAGTAGAGGAGGTTGTACCACCGTCCGGTTCAAAAGATTTAGCCAACTTCACTGTCAGTCAGCAGAGCAGAGAGCATCGGAGCAGCCAACAGACTGGAGTTGTGCTGCCCTGCCTCACGTTGTCCAGCTTCACGCTGGCCTTCATTTACTATCACTCTTCTCCACTTCCATTAAGTTAACCCATTTAGGTTATTTTGTGTCTCGGTTTACAGCCTGCCATGCTGTCACTATGTGTACAATTGCAGAGCTAAAAAACAGAGTGCAGAGATACGACTGACAAAATGGGTGTTAATAACGCGGTTCTCTTATGATGTTGATGTTATTGGGAAACTTCTTATGTAGCAAAATGTGTTTTAAGCAAGTATTGTTTTGTAACATCCTCTTGTCTTCCTCAGGTCCTCTGGACTCGTCTTCCGTGTGACAACTTCCACCTGCTGATCGCCTGTTCAATCCTGCAGTCCCAGAGAGGAGAGCTGATTGGCTCAGACCACGACTTCAACACTATTCTGAAGGTCTGTACTGCGTGTGTTTGTGAATCTGAGAAGGGAGTTGAGTTACTTTGTCTATAACTTTGCTGTGAACCTCTTCCCACATTGTGAATTCTCTTCAGCACATCAATGAGCTGACGATGAAGTTGGACCTGCAGAGTGTTCTGCGTGGAGCAGAAGCCATCTACCTACAGCTGATTCAGTGCAAGGTAAGAGGTGCTTCATGGGCCAGGAAGATTCAGCACGTAGTCTGTGTCCAAATTTGATTTTGCAGTTGTAGTTATAATAGAGAAACATTTCAAGTTAAGTTCTAAAAAATAGTCTCTATGGAAGCTGTAGCTGTACCTTCTCCTCATCAAGCCTGAATCTGAAAATGGAAAAATGACTCTTAGCCTGAAGGCCACAACCTTTCATGAGGGATCACAAGGAGACATTTCTTCATTTCAAAGGGTCACAGGGCAGAAATGATGGGGCTGTAGTGTATTTGTGTCCCCAATTTTAGGGAAAAAAAGAGCTCTTCAGTGTTATGAGTCTTTACACACAAACATTACTTTTTGTGTTCTTATTTCCTAATTTGTTAGACAAACGTAAGTATATTTTTGGAAATTAAATGGTATATGCACACGCGCCACAAGTCATTTCTGTTTCATTAAGTTCATATTACACACTGTTTATACTGTATACTGCTCTATCCATCAATTGTAGCATTTTCCAATTTAAAAATGTTCCAGCAGTTTCATTTCTCTGCATCCTTTTAGAGTTTAGTAAGATCTGTGCCTGACGAATGTTTTATAAGTGGATCAGTTGCATTTCAGACACAACATTAGGAAAAAATAGGGCGGATTTATAAATAATAAATTGCTTTTTTCAGGTTTTCCACATAGTAAAACTGACAGTAAAAAACAGTATAAGCATGCATATTGCATGAATTTGACACCTCCTCTCCTCCTCTGCCCTCCCCAGGAGCTTCCCCTCAAAGTGCAGCAGGTTCTGGGTCTCTACATCCCCTCCAGCTCTGAGGAGGACAGCCCAGACTCGCAGGCCAGCGAGACACAGCGCCTCCTCAGCGAATCCCAGGCAGGAGCTGCTTCATCTAATTCAGCATGCGGTCCCACCTCTCCTTGAACCTGCAGGCCAGCTGATGGACTGACAGTCATCGAGAAATGTATGGAAAATGTTTATATATGAAAAAATATATATATACTGTGTATGATCCAATGAAAGAATGAAGATTGTTGTTGCTGTTTGTCAGGGACAGGGGGCGTTGTTGAGGGTTTTTTTTTTCTTTTAATGTACTCATGAAGGTTACAATTCAAGATGTTTAAACACTATAGTCGTGCTTGCAGTGCTCTCTTTCTTTCTGTATGTTATCTCTTTTTTTGTCACTTGTTTACATGTCCTGTGTCTCTGCTGAACCGTTCTGCCATCCTTTCTGCTCTCCATCCTCCTTCTCAAGCTGCTGTTTTACCTTTTTCACAAATTATTTAATAATTGTATTCGTCTCTGCTTGTCACTTGTGTTGCATTGTACTTTCGGTGCGTTTTGTTATGTTTGGTTGAGATTTTCCCTTGCGTCCCCTCGCCACAGTTCCTGAAAAAGGGAAGAAGTTGAAGGATAAGCTCACTGGCAGCGCCTTGTTAGTACTGTATGATGCCATTCCAGCCCTATGCAAAGTTTTTGCATGCCTTATAGGTTTCACAAGTGGCGTGGTAATATTTTAAGCCTTGTAATTATCTGTATTATGTCACAACGTTTTCATCCGCTCATTATTACCAAATAAATGGTTGAATCTTAATGAAGCAAGGTATATAAACTTTATATTTTTTCCTCTCAGGCACCAGTCTGTCTCTCTCAGCAGGTCTACTCACAGCCGGCATCTTGATTATTTATTTCTGTACGTAGCATAGACCACTGCTACATATTACAGCCTCCACAATTACCATAAAGCTGAATCAACACCTCTTTAAAACACTTTCAACAAAACCTGAACATTATAACTTTCTGAGGGTAGGATTTATTGCAGGGCTGTTAAAATATAATATAATATAAACCTGCAACTGAGCAAAGATGGGTTCTAATATAAATACATTAAACTTGCGAGAAATGAGACAAAACAACACGAAAGTGAAGAAACTCTTACAAAACAGCACAAATGTAACAAGAAAACATTAAAAAAAGCAAAAATCAACAAGAGATGACACAATAAATACACAGTAAACAAACAATGATCCAAGAAAATTACCATAAAACTCAGTAACAAGCGCCGGATCATTCATGACTGATCCCTCTTTAAAATCTGCTTCACCTTGAGTGTAAAATGATCCAGTAATGATCCATTTATCTGTAGAGAAAGAGTTCATTGTATTGAACAGAATCTGTGAGCCTGGTTATTTAGACATTTATCTATGAGTTTAATAAAGCTAATTTAATGAAATAATCTAAACCTATTTACGGGAACACTTAATTTTTTTCCCTCCTATTAGCAAACTTGTAATAGTTGGTTTATAAAACAATATAACGTTGTAAGCAGATATAAGGTCTTTTTAAGTATATATTGATGTCTTTGTCAACAACTTAAACTGACATAAACTTAATCAATAATATTTGTATTTGTAGAAGTTATAATTGTTGAAAACATGAATTAACACTTAAAATTATTTTTTTTCAAATTTTAAAAAGACAACCTGAGAAATAGTAATTATTCCAGTGTAACAGTAACAACTGTTTGTTTATGTGGTGTTTTACCTTGTGAACTGGTTAAACTTTGGCCTTTCCCCTCTCCTCCCCCACTGGCCAGCAGGTGTCTGTGTGAGGTGAATGGCTGAGGGGAAAATAGGACCTCTGTTCTCCACTGTCCCGGGAAATGAGCTGGAAAATGAGGGGCGGGGAACCACACCCCCTTCTCAGGACCCGCTGCACTCCTCTTTTGGCTCGTCGCTGTTTCTGTCACCCTCGATCCATGTTGTTTGAATACAGCTGCGATGTATGAATTTAGCAGGGTGCTTAAACAGGCCGACGATCTGTCACTCTGCCCCTCCCCTCCCTCCGTCCACCCCAGCCTGACCTCACTTGACTGGCAGAGCCAAACTTACTCAGTCCTTCATTCAAACTCAATCTGCTTTCAGCCCCTCTCAAAGCCTGTTTTATAGGCGAAGGCCTTGTCGACAGCTTTAAACCCCATATTCTCTCACTAATGCTACAATCGACTAAGTGTTAGAGGATTATGGCCTCTTCATGTTGTCATTATACTGAGTGACTTTGAAAAGCTGTTATCTGCAGTAGATGATGTGGTTGAAGCTTCATGCTTGAGATTTGAGCCTTGGGTTTGTTTTTTAAAAACCAGTTCTATGGCATCAGCAAAATGTACTTAAAGTGTCAAAAGTAAAAGTGCTCATAGTGCAGTAAAATGGTTTTTGGATTAATGCTACTGCTGTAAGGTTGAGCTAATTTTAACTACTTTATATACTGTTGGGTAGTCTACAGCAATACATCATAATTTATAAGATTGTTGTTTATTTGTAGTGTCACTTTAAATAGTCTATTTAGTTGAAGAAGTAAGAGGATTTTCTCAACCCATGAATGAACACTTCAGTTTATCAGAAACATTCAGAATCACTACATTTGGATATACATAGTTTTCACTGGACAGGGAGGGTATAAATTGTAATCTGAAAATTAACTAAAGCTGTCAGATGAAATGCAGGGGAGTAGAAAGTACAAAGTAGCATAAAATGGAAATACTCAAGTAAAGTAGTAGTACCTAAAATTTGTACTTAATAAGAGTACTTAAAAGTAAATGTACTTTGTTAAATTCCATCACTGTATGGTTTGGTGATTTTACCTGTTTCATTATTATTCTGCCAGTTTTATACACTAGTTGATGCTCTTGTTTAATAGTCTTTTATTTTAAGTTTAATTGAAACACTATTTAAATTATGCAGATGAGTATAAATTAGATAAACTGTCTCTACATATTTTTTACCTGCAGAAGAGAGTCCCACCTTATCGGGTTGACTCAAGACTTTATAAAATTATTTTAAAGGTGAAACATTGTGTTGCTGTGTTGATAAAGGTAGACTGTAAGACACAGTCTGGTCACAGGGGTCACAGGGTAAACATTATTGCCACTAATATCTGCCTCTACATTGATGGTTTAGACTCTCCAGAGCCAGCTGCAATAAATTTAAAACATAATTTTTTAATAGAACTGGAATTACCAAGAAGATAATCCCAGTCTTATTGTCCTATTTTCTGGTTTAACTTGTTTTAATTTGTTTTAACTTACTTTATTCTGTATTTATTGTTATTGTGTGCTACTCTTTCTAAATCATATTTATGAATTAACCTATGATGTTTCTCTTAACTGTATTCCACTTGTTTTGGACAGTAAAGTTAACATCTGCTCTGAGTCTTTTGTGCTAACAGTGTTTTTGTTTCGGATATATTGAACCCAAATGTGTTTTATTTAAAAAGCAGGAATTCCAGCTATGCAATGACAAAGTGTGTCCATATGGCAGCAAGTTCTGTTACTCAGTGTCTGTGCAAAGGGTTCTCACTGCAACAAATTCACAAATTGAAATTTAGCTGTACAATATAGTAAAAATCTTTTTTTTTCTGGAATCCCTATTTGTAAAATGTGAAATCTAGTTTTTGTTAATGTTGGGTGTTTACCATATTATATCACTACTGACAGCTTCTCTTTACCTTTAATATATATGTTTGTTGTGGTGGAATTTGACTATGTGCATTTACTCAACTACTGTACTCAAATACAAATTTTTAGGTAGTATTTCCATTTTCTGCCACTTTATACTTCTGTTTGACTACAAATAGGAAAATACTGTACTTTATACTGCACTACATTATTTGACAACTGCAGTTACTTTACAGATTAAGATTTTAAAACAACAAAAACATTGATGAGTTTATTTAATATAGATTAAACTCACCAACCAAACATAAAATAGCTAAATTGACCTCCATCTCAACCACCTACAACAGTAAAATGTAACTTATACACGAATGCATCAGTAATTATAATGTAATATATAATGGTAGGTCACTCATTCATGTCTGCATCATGAATACCTTTGATACTTTTGCTAATGAAACTATAATAATACTTCAATTTATAAACTGAAATTAGAATTTTATAAAAATACGTGATTTTAGTAGTGAAGTGAAATTTCCAGTGCAGGACCCTTTGTAATTAAGTTTTTATATTGCAGTATTGCTACTTTTACTTAGTAAAGGATCTGGATACGTCCTCCACTGCTGTATGTCAGATAAAATATAAAAGTATCAGTCCTATAAAATGATGTCTCATTGAGTTAAAGCAAAGTAACTTAATTACATTCATGATAATCTTTCTAATAAATATAGTAGAGTTTCTAATATTCTCCTCAAGTGTCCTGAAAACAGGTTTGATGGAATCATGTCGAATAAAATTTTGTTATTCTAAGTTAGTTTTGACCCTGATATTATATGAACCTGAATCAGTCATAGTTAGTGAAGATGCTCCTCAGCTCTGCGTTGAATAGAGCATGAATAATTGATGCTCAGCTGAAATCAAGTCATGCTGGTCTCCTGGTGGCCGTCCATTTAACTCCTATTAGAAACATGAGCTGCCATTGAAAACCTTAATGTGTGAATAGCCACCTGTAATGACTGTCAAATACAATCTGTATTCTCCACTGGTGAGTGCGACCCCATTGTGACCATCAGAGGAGTCCCCGGGGAGTGTGTGAAAAGTGTGTCTACCCCATGAATGTGTGGAGTGTGTGTGAGTGTGGGGAGCCAGCAGCAGGCAGAAGGCCAGGGGGCTGTTGTCTGACACTGATTTGTAAAGGGAGACAATACGGCTCATTGACCTGCCCGGCTCCACTGTCTGTTGCACATACCTCGCCCAGCCCTCCCCGGTGGCTTCGCTGCTCTTTAAACACGAGCAGCAGATTGCCACAGGCGCAGGGAGGGGAGGCCAACGGGACACAGGTTGCTTTGACAATGAGAAGCCTCAGAGGAAAAGAGGGAGAGGGGGGGCAGAGTCAAACTTTGATGAACACATTTACAGAGAAGAAATATAGAAACCTTACTTTTAGCAGCTGCAGCTTTTAAATTGCTTCTCGAAAAAAATCTATTAATGATTTGTCATCTGTTTTATTATTGTTGTTGTTTTTATCTTATATTATTACTATTGTTACTTATAAATGTGATCCTATACTACACAATATAAGATAAATACAGTATTAGAGGCCTGTTTCCCCCTAAATCTTTAATCATGTTTGGTTCATGAAATGTCAGAAAACAGTGAAAGAAATTCCAAGAAAGTCCAGTGTCTTCAAATCGTTTGTTTTATACAAAATTAGTCAATTTACTATCAATTAACACTGAAATAATCTCATTACGTTGGAACTTGGGGAAAAAAAATTAATTATTAGTCTTTTATCACAACTGTTTCTGATTAATATTCTGTTGATTGAATAATTGATTAAAATAGTATTTATTTCAGATTTATTTTACTTTACTGATTGCTTAATTTTAATAATTTGTCCTGAGGAGATAAGACTAGTTTTAATGTGTATTTCACAAGATTAAAGTAAAAATTATTTAAATGTCTAAAAAAATTAAAAGAAATACAATATTTGCAGAAATACAATTTCCTACAGAAAGCATACTAATAATATAAGTATTGTTACTGTCACTGGTAAGTATTGTTCTTATTATTATTATTAATAATACATACATACTGAAATATAAGTAAAGACAAAAATAATCTGAACCAAAATGAAGTTAAACATTAAACTAAAGTACCTGTAAGAAACAGATATTGATCTAACAGCAGCAGGATTTAACATCCATCCAGACTCTGACACATTTCCTCTCGTGCTCGCGTTGTAAACAAACACCATCACCCTTTTGTCATCCATTCCCATTGTCAGAGTCTGGATGTGACCTTTTCTCTCCTCTCCCTGCCTCTCACCCCTCGTAGCCTTTTCTTTTCCTCCCTTCTCTCTTTCACTGCCGATGACAAGCTGTTGCTCTGTCCCTGCGGGCCACTCCCTCACTTGTCTGCTCCTCTTTTCTCCTCCCCTGCCTCCCTCTCTCCCCTGCTCTCCTTCTTTCTCCCTCTCCCCACCTGTTGAAGCAATTGTTGCACAGACCATATTGTTGTCTTCTTATTATTTTATGTCAGTCACGAGCGTCCCCGCCCCTTTTCTACGGCCTTTTCCCATCCCTCTGTGCCACTCCCTCTTTCTCTCTCCCTGCTGGGTATAAAACTCAGAGACAAGAGTGGAGGAGTGATATTCAGCTGAGCACCCACAGGAAGTCACAACTATTTCAACAAGGACAAAGCTGCAGGGGTTTCCCAGCTTCCGGTTACCTGCACAACATCCAGCTTCCTCAGGTGACAGAGGGACTCTAGCTGCTGCATTTCTTTGGACGTAAACAAGTTTATATTTTACCCAGCAGGCTGTGCAAATGGACAAAAGCATGTCTGTGTCTCTGTGGTGTGAGGAGGTGGAGGATGACCAGAGCCAGGAACAGAGCCAAACCGAGGCACAGGCCCAGGGACACATCACAGGCTCGTCCCAGCTGCGAGCCGCCTGGGACCCCACTGTGTCTGGGCATCGAGTGATCCAGAGGCTGCTTCATGTGGAGGAGAGGTACATGCCCTCCCTGCTCTACATCACCCTCATCCAGCGGGATCCAGAGCGCAGGGAGGAGCTCGCCAAATGGGCCCTGGAGGTATGAAAGTCTCTTATGCTCCAGTTTCTTCGTTTACCTCATGGTGCTGGATGTCATCATGGCAGCTGTGATTCTGATGTCTCACTTTTTTTTTCTTTCTTCTCTGCAGGTGTGCTGTGAATGCGGCTGTGATGAAGCAGTGTTCCCCCTGTCTGTTTCTCTGATGGATAGGTTCCTGTCTGCCTCTTTATCTATACCTGTCTCACCATACTGCCTGGCTGCTGGCTGCATCCTCATCGCCTCCAAACTCGCAGATTGCGACAACGTCACCGCTGATACTCTCTGTGCTGCAGCTGAATACAGCTTTCAGCCTTCCAGTCTGCGGGTGAGTCAGTCACACAGCATCCACACAGTAGCTAATTCTGGTGACCCTTAAAGACCCTCTTTCCCTAATATCATCACCTTTAATCCCACTTGCAATGACATTAAGTGTAAACTCAGTTAAACCTTGATTTTAAATTTAGAATACACATCTTTAACAGTGTTCTTATTCTTCAGCCTATAAACTGTATAACACAAATGATAAGTTTTAATGATTTGTCTCTTTTGATGATTGTGTGCCTTAGTACATCCACCAGGACGACAATGCACATAAAACTTAAATTTCTTTTCAACATTTCTTTCAAAATTACAGATTACTTCATTTGTATTTGACCGATCACTCAAAGAACCCAAAGTGATGCGTATGGATGACACTGACAAAATAATTAGGGATGCAACTAATGGCTGTTTTCATTATCAGTTAACCTTGATTATGAAATGTCAGAAAAAAGGGAAAACATTCCAATCACAACTTTCCAGATGAAATATTAAAATACCTTGTTTTGTCTGACAGAAAGTCCTAAACCCAAAGATTTAAGTTTCAAGAGCTTGAACCTGAGAAATTGGATCTTTTCTTCAACAATTTCTGCTTGATAAATGATGGAAAGTTATCAGAATAGTTGCTGTCAATCAACTAATTGGTTTACCACAGTGCTTAATACTTTAATTCAAGTGGTGCTTTCATGCAATTTTAAATTAAAATAAAATGAGTAATTAGTCATGTGGATATGATGAACCAGCAGAGGCATTCATTGTTTCAGTCAGTTAGAAACAGTCAAATGAGCTCAGAGAATTGTGTCACTGAACTCTAGTGCAGAGTTTAACAGAAGAAGACTAACTAACAATGCATACATCTTTTATGATATCAATTGTAACATCACAATCTCTATTGTAACAATGTTTTCCAATTACACAGTCCTTTCTGTTTCCTAAATGCACCTATTTTCTCTCCATTAGGAAATGGAGCGTGTCATCCTCGCCACCCTCCGGTGGGATACAGCAGCAGTGACTCCACAGGACTTCCTCCCACATTTTCTTGCCTCCGTGGTGGGGAGAGGAGTTGGAGACAGCAGTGACTCTGAGGGGGAGCTGCTCTCCACCACCCTGCGGCGGCACAGCGACACACTGGCTGCCATGTGTGCCTGTGACTCCCGCTTTCTTGGAGCACCACCGTCACTTGTTGCTGCAGCATCACTGAATTGTGCCCTGCGAGGTCTGGGCAGCAAGGGCCCCACTCAGCTGGCTGTTTTGAGTGAAGCACTGGCGGAGCTCTGCCAGGCTGATGTGGTGAGTGCATCCGCAGTAATGAGGCTGTACATAGGCCTGTTTGTTTGATTTTAT